GGCCCGCCCAAGCGATTCACGGGGCTTGGGGGAGGACTTGGGAGACAGGGCAAGTGCCCAAGGAGGCCTGCAGGGTTCTGTCTCCACGCCTTGCGGGACGGCATCGCCGTTTTTTCTCGGTGGAAGAGGGGACAATACATACTAAGACAGGCTCCCGTGGGCCCAGGACGGGCCAAAAGGAAACAAAGCCACGGAAAATCTCCTAGGCGTGCCTCACTCGGCAGATATCTTGTCAGCGGGACCTTGTGCTCTCGAGTGTGTGTGTGTGTGTGTGTGTGGTGGGGGGACGCGGGGGGCGGGGGAGGGGGTTGGAGGCGGGAGGGATAGGTGTGTGGGTGTGGAAGTTTGTGTGCGCGCGCGCGCGAGCGTGTGCGTCTGTCCGTGTACATCCGAAGTCACGCACGGACACTCCTTGCTTTGAACGGTCCGTCGCCATCCATGAACACCCTTCAGCCCCTGCCTTCTCAAAGACAACGCCCCCTGCAAGTGCTTCCCGCCTCGGGTCTAGCCAGAAATGGGGAAGTCCAGTCACCTGTCTGTGCTTTCCCCACAGGCGGTTGCAGGAGAGGGGCTTGCGTTGACGCTTCTCGACCAGCACAGGGCGGGGCGGGCTCTTCAGGACCTGCCCCAGTCCACCCAAATTCTGTAATCCACAGCCAAAGATGACCTCCTGGACTGTCCATCTGATCCAAACCCCGCCCACGCCCACGCCCCGCATCCCCCCACACTCACCCCCACCCCCACCCCTCCCCCCACCCCGCTCACTCTGTGGATGGATGGTCAGGCCCCCTCCCAGAGACCAAGTCCAGGCCTGGCCACCTGGGCTTGCCAAAGCCTCAGAAATTGGAAAGGCGGGATCAACCTATTTTTTCTGAGGAGGGTATTTTGTTGTTGTTGTTTTATCGGAGGGAACGAGTTATTTTGTTTGTTTGTCTGTCTGTTTGTTTTTCCCACACCTTTTCGGTTGATTAAGGCCGAGGTGAAAACAGCAACCGGTAAAGTGAATCCCGAAAATGACTCGGCACAAAACCGGTCTTTTTCAGAGTTATTGAATAAAAGAAAAGTGAACGAAAAATCTTTCTAAGAGTTTTAAATCCTATTTCCAAACAGAAGAAACAAACTCCATCATTGGCCCCAGGTCCCTGCCATCCTCGCGCACACTGACGTGCTGGTGCTTTAGCTGCTGTCCATCGTCGCGTCGTCATCGTCCAGCAGGGCGTCCAGGTCCTCGGCGTCCTTCATCGCGCTGTCAGCGTCCAGCTGGGAGTCCAACTCCTCGGTGTCCCTCATGTAGCTGTAAGCATCCTTTTGGGCGTCCAGCTTTTTGGTGTCCCTCATGGCATGGTAAGCGCCCAGGTGGGCGTCCAGCTGCTTGGGGCCCCTCATGGAGTTGTAAGCGTCCAGCTGGGCGTCCAACTCCTCCGCCGAGATGTGTGGCTTTGAATGGCGGCCAGTGTGCCTGCCTTTACACAGCTTGCCTCCGCTGGAGCGGCCCTGAGTGCCGCCGCCGCCTCCGCCGCCGCCGAAGCCTCCAGATCCTCGGTTTGTAGTCACCCAGCGTCTGTTGACACTCGGTACCGGCCTGGGCTGCGTGACTATGTTCGCGGTGAGGATCTGGATGTGGAGGGGACGGCCATCCAAAGGGACGCCGTTGTACTGCTTCCTGGCTTCCAGGGCGTCTGCCTTGCGCTCAAAGTGCACGTGGGCTGTTCCCAGGCTGCGGCCAGAGCGGTCGTAATGGACAGCGGCGTGCTTCAGAGGCCCGAACTCCGCAAACAGCTGCTGGATGTCCGCGTCGGACACTCGGAAGTCCAGGTTGGACAGCAGCAGCTTCCCGCCGGTCATCAGGCCGGCGCCCCTGCCGAAGTCCCTGTGGAAGCGGTCGTGGTGCCACTCGTCGGGAAGCTGTCTCGGCCTGCTGTAGGGCGCCGGCCGGTCCCTGACTCGGCCGAGGGCCGCCCTGTTCCGGAACGGCCCGCCGCCCCAGCTCTCGGGGGTGGCGGCGGCCTGCGCTCCGCCACCGCGGAGGCCTCCCTGGGAGCCGGCCCTGCCTGGGTCCCGGCCTTGGTCCCTGCCCCTGCCGCGGCCGTGGCCGTGGCCGTGGCCGTGGCCTCCCTGGGAGCCGGCCCAGCCTCGGTCCCAGCCTCGGTCCCTGCCCCTGCCCCCGCCCCCGCCCCCGTCCCCACCCCCGCCGCCGCCTCGTCCTCGGCCATGGCGGTGCCGCTGGCTCCGGTCCCGCCGAATGATGTCGTCCAGTGACATGTGGATTTTGTCGGCCATGGCGGGCCCCGAATCAGCCTCGGATGGAGCCCGTGCGGAGGCACGCGAGTCCTTCACTTCCCGCGCGGCGCCGGGGCTGTCCCAGATGTTGAGGTCCAGGCCCAGGGTTTCCCAAGGGTGTGGACGAGTCGGTGAAGAAGAAATGACACCGAGACAGCGTTCAGTGGATCAGCAGCCCAGCCAGGCTCTAGCCAGGTGCTCTAGCGGCTTCTATGTCCCGGGTCTTGGCGAGACCTCTCTCCTGAAAGCTCCCTTGGAGAACGAGGACGACGACCACGACCACAAGCCTAGGGCTGAGAAGCTCTGCAAAGAAGGCCCTGCGTTCTTTTATAGCCCCAGAGCTGGTGGGAGGAGCCAAATCAGCTGCCCGCTCGACCAATCAGCCGCCCCCAGGACCGACGTCACCGGTTGGGCCTCCAGTGGAGGGGAGGAGGCTTGCATTGGCGCTGGAGGACCAGGAGAGGGCGCCACTGGCCCGCCCAAGCGATTCACGGGGCTTGGGGGAGGACTTGGGAGACAGGGCAAGTGCCCAAGGAGGCCTGCAGGGCTCTGTCTCCAGGCCTTGCGGGACGGCATCGCCGTTTTTTCTCGGTGGAAGAGGGGACAATACATACTAAGACAGGCTCCCGTGGGCCCAGGACGGGCCAAAAGGAAACAAAGCCACGGAAAATCTCCTAGGCGTGCCTCACTCGGCAGATATCTTGTCAGCGGGACCTTGTGCTCTCGAGTGTGTGTGTGTGTGTGTGTGTGGTGGGGGGACGCGGGGGGCGGGGGAGGGGGTTGGAGGCGGGAGGGATAGGTGTGTGGGTGTGGAAGTTTGTGTGCGCGCGCGAGCGTGTGCGTCTGTCCGTGTACATCCGAAGTCACGCACGGACACTCCTTGCTTTGAACGGTCCGTCGCCATCCATGAACACCCTTCAGCCCCTGCCTTCTCAAAGACAACGCCCCCGGGGTCTAGCCAGAAATGGGGAAGTCCAGTCACCTGTCTGTGCTTTCCCCACAGGCGGTTGCAGGAGAGGGGCTTGCGTTGACGCTTCTCGACCAGCACAGGGCGGGGCGGGCTCTTCGGGACCTGCCCCAGTCCACCCAAATTCTGTAATCCACAGCCAAAGATGACCTCCTGGACTGTCCATCTGATCCAAACCCCGCCCACGCCCACGCCCCGCATCCCCCCACACTCACCCCCACCCCCACCCCTCCCCCCACCCCGCTCACTCTGTGGATGGATGGTCAGGCCCCCTCCCAGAGACCAAGTCCAGGCCTGGCCACCTGGGCTTGCCAAAGCCTCAGAAATTGGAAAGGCGGGATCAACCTATTTTTTCTGAGGAGGGTATTTTGTTGTTGTTGTTTTATCGGAGGGAACGAGTTATTTTGTTTGTTTGTCTGTCTGTTTGTTTTTCCCACACCTTTTCGGTTGATTATGGCCGAGGTGAAAACAGCAACCGGTAAAGTGAATCCCGAAAATGACTCGGCACAAAACCGGTCTTTTTCAGAGTTATTGAATAAAAGAAAAGTGAACGAAAAATCTTTCTAAGAGTTTTAAATCCTATTTCCAAACAGAAGAAACAAACTCCATCATTGGCCCCAGGTCCCTGCCATCCTCGCGCACACTGACGTGCTGGTGCTTTAGCTGCTGTCCATCGTCGCGTCGTCATCGTCCAGCAGGGCGTCCAGGTCCTCGGCGTCCTTCATCGCGCTGTCAGCGTCCGGCTGGGAGTCCAACTCCTCGGTGTCCCTCTTGGAACGAGTTATTTTGTTTGTTTGTTTATCGGCGACCGAGTCTGTGCACTTTGGTAAGCGTGGCGTCAGGGTTTCGTTGATGGAGATTTCCTCTTTTCTTCGTTTCTTCTCCAGGGAAACTCACCGCAGAGCTGGGTATGTTCTGGGCGCCGCGCGCACGTAACGCACCCCATGCGCGGCCTTTGGACAGCGATAGATGGCAAAGATCTCATTCTTAACCCATCCCTCCGCGCCTCCCCGTCCTCTCTCAAACGGACTCTAGCGAAGCTGCCCCGGAGCCCCGGCCTCACTCAAACCCTCTGGACAGAACCTCCCAGCCCCTTCCCTGCCGCTCACAATTCCACTTAAAGGTGTAGCCCTCTGGCTCATGTTCCTAGGATAGCCTGCTATTTTAAATGCAAGTGCCACTGGCCAGGGTGGCACCGTGAGCTTGCACGGAAGTGGTATAGCATATAGTATCGTCTACAGGAGTGCGTAGTGCTGCCCTGCTCAAGGGCATTTACTTTTAAAAGATACCCGGCGGACAGGTCAAAGGCATGCATTTCCAGTGGCAAATGATCAGTTCAGCATCCGGCCAGGAGAAACAACTCAGTGTGCTGTCCCCCGTCCTTTTAATAATGCACCACGCGCCCTGAGGCACAGGGGGGCTGTGCTCCGTGGCTGGACTCAGCCAGGAAATCTGGTGATTTCAGGGCGGATGAGCAATAGTTTCTTCAAACCAGACCTGAGCCCTGGGAAGAGGCTCCTCAGTGCCAAGACCTGCTCCCCTCCCACGCCCCTCCCGCGGTGGGGATTTCTGCCCTAAGAGCAAAGACTAGGACAGGTGTAGGGATCCTGCAGGGGAGGGTGCAGAAACTGGGATGAGATTGAGGGGAACAGTGGGCTAAGACTGAGGAACATCTTCCCAGTGGCCTGGCTGCCTTGGGAAATGGTCCAGCCAGCCCAAGGCTGATGCGTCCTCTGTTCTGCTTATAGGGAAGATGCAGTCAGAGCTTGGTAAGTGACCCTTCTTGGAACTGTTCCTTCTTGTCCACCTTTTAGCATCTGGTTACCCAGGTACGTTCTGATCTCCCAACCAGGTCTGATGGCCAGGCTGGAACCCGCTGGCTCTGTGGGCCTGGGCGGCAGGAGGAAGGGGAAGGGGCAGAGTGGGTGCAGATTCCACATGTGAGCAGGGAAGCTGCAGGAACCTGGTGTTCTAATTCCGTGTTTTTCCTTAACTGCTTCAGACTGGAGAAGGGCTGAAGGCCAGGCTGGTGAGTGAAGTCCATTTCTCCCCCATTGTCCACTTTACATCTCAGCGTCCCAGTCACTCTCTCCTCCCATTTATTCCACAGCCTCACTCAACATAACTTAGTCTATGTCACTGGTAGAGGTTATATTCGAGTTTTTCATATTGTCCTGAGGTGTATGCATACTGTACGCCATGGGTGCCAAGCCTGGCTGCAAATAAGAATCCCCTAAGCTCCTGGTGCCAACCCTCAAAGACTGACCTGTGGGTCTGGGGTGGGCATGTTACCCCACACATAAACATTTCTCCCTGTGTCTCCCTCCATCCCCCCATAAAGCAACCAATCTAAAACCTACCTTCTGTGTATTCTTGCAAAATGTGCAGTTGTTTTCTGCACATGCATTTTAGTTTATGTAAATTACCTTTACATCTCATGCTACTCCTGGCTTTTCTCACCATCATGGTGTTTTAATACCCATCCTGCTGCCACATGCACATCTGGCCTGCTTCCCCTTGGTGCCGAGCCTCCATTTCAACCAGCCGCCCTCCTGAAGCAGCAGCCAGCCTGCTCTAACCCACTCCACCACACGCAACATAAGCATGCCGCCTTCTGGCTGTGTGGAGGCTTCTCCGGGATGGACACCCAGGAAGGGGATTGCTGGCCCAGGGAGGATGTCGCTAAGTAGGATAGAGGGGTCCCGCCATTGGCAGTACCTGGAGCCCCACATGCCCCGTTCCCTGTGAGCCAGCTTGCTGAGCTTTCCAGGCAGTAGAGAGCAGTGATTCTCGCTGTTTTCTCAGTGTGCACGCCTCTGAACACTAAGGAGTTTGGGCACCTCATGTGCTAGTTGGATGGTGGGGGTTCCTCTTCTGAGGTGAATGGCTCCCGCTAAGAAAGGAGGCAAGACAGGTTTCCACAGGGCGCGTTAGGACAGGAGCCAGCCTCAGCGGGGCCTCCTGGGGACCGAGCTGGCCAGTCCCAGGCGGAGGCTTTCTCTCCATCCTGCAGACAACCGCGCTGCTTGTCCTGGGCTCTGTGCTCTGGTCCCACCCTCCTGAGCACACTTCGGCTTGCATGCAGCTTGGGTATAACCTAGCACCGATGCCAGCCCCTTACTCCATCCTGAATCCTCCGGAAAATGGGCCGAAACCAGCTGTCATGGTGGGAAAGGGCTCTTCAATGTTACAGTGTCCCTCCTGCATCCCTCACAGTCCCAGGGACACCGACTCAGCCCCCTGAGCCTCATTTTCCTCTCTGTTTGGTTTCAGAGTGGAGACCAGCCCAGCAATATGCAGGTAACTGGAGGTGGGGCCAAGGAATGACGTGACTTAGGTTGGCTGGACCTTTAAACAGAGGGAGGTGGAGCGATCTGAGATTAGAGGAGGAGTCTGTCCAGAAGCCAAGTATGAACCTGCACACACAGTCACACAAGTCCACTTGCACAGACATAACACCACCCACACACCTGCGTATGCACATATGCACACATGCATGCTTGCATGCATAGATGTGATTAGCTCACACAGGTATACATTGGTGTGCACATACATACCCCCATAAGCATATATCTTTCTTGGTCTTGTTAATCCTCACCAGAGGATATTTTTTCCCATTGGTTTTCATTGAGAGTGGAAGGGAGAGGGAGAGACAGAGAGAAACATGATGTGAGAGAGACACCTCGATTGCTAATTGGTTGCCTCCCGCTTCTGCCCTGACCTGGGCCGGGGATCAAGCCTGCAACTGAGGTGTGTGCCCTTGACCGGAATCCAACCCACAACCAACCCTTCAGTGTGTGTGGCCCACACTCTAACCACTGAGCAAACCAGCTAGGGATCTTTCTTGGTTTTACTGGGTCTTTCCATCTGCAGGAGGCTGTTTGCAGGAGCCAATGGAACCTTTCAGATGGTCTGACGGAGGGATCCTTTGGGTTCCCATCCATCAAATGGGTGTGTTCCGGCAGCTATGGTGATGCCAGGGCACTGGACTAGATCATCTCAGAGGTCCCCTGCAGCTTTAAAATCCTAGACTTGTGCCCTAACTGGTTTGGTTCAGTGGATAGAGCATCAGCCTGGGGACTGAAAGGTCCCAGGTTCGATTCTGGTCAAGGGCATGTACCTTGGTTGCGGGCACATCCCCAGTAGGGAGTGTGCAGGATGCAGCTGGTTGATGTTTCTCTCTCATTGATGTTTCTAACTCTCTATCCCTCTCCCTTCCTCTCTGTAAAAAAATCAGTAAAATATATATTTAAAAAAAATAAAATCCTAAAATTGCTGTAAAACTGAGGCAAACACACACACACACACACACACACACACAACAGGCTCAGAGCTCAGTGATGCTCTCTCTCGGCCACTCGGCCACACTGATGGTGAAACAGTGGGACTAGCCCAGCCCTAGGCTCCCTCCCCTGGACCAGGACTTGAGGGCAGCAGGAGCCTGCCTTGTTCCTGTCTCTCCTCTCCAAGGCACCGGCACCAGGCACCTGTATAGAATTCAGGAACCTTCCAGGTCAGGAAAGAAATAGGGTTCCTCTTATCACATTCAAATGCCCCGGGTGCCTGCAGGCCACTTCAGTCTCCGAGTGTTTGGGGTGACGGTGGGGGTGAATATTCTACCAATTGCTCCAAAAATAGAGGTTGGCCAGTTGGGAGGAGACAGGTAGGGCCTGGCACCCTGCGGGGCCCTGACGCAGAGCCTCTGCGCAGTGAACGTGACCCTGGATTCGGCCTCAGCACACCCCAGCCTGGAGGTCTCCCAGGACGACAGGAGCGTGTCCTCCCGCTGGGCGGCCTTGTTCCCGGCGGTGCCGGGAGACCCACAGCGGTTCACCGAGCAGATGTGCGTGCTGAGCCACCAGTGCTTCCGGACCGGCCTCCACTACTGGGAGGTGGACATGTGCCAGCGCAGCCGCTGGTTCCTGGGCGCCTGTCTGGAGGCGGTGGCGCGCGCCGGGCCGGCGCGCCTGAGCCCGGCCGCGGGCTACTGGGTGATGGGGCTGTGGAACGGCTGCGAGTACTTCGTGCTGGAGCCGCATCGCCGGGCGCTGTCCCTGCACGTGCTGCCCCAGCGAGTTGGCATCTTCATGGACTGCGAGGCTGGGAAGCTGGCCTTTTTCAACGTGTCCGACGGCTCCCACATCTTCACCTTCACCGACACCTTCTCGGGGCCGCTCTGTGCGTACTTCAGGCCCAGAGCCCCCGACGGCAGCACACGCCCCGATCCGCTCACCATCTGCCCGTTGCCCCTTCGAGGAACACCCGTCCCTGAAGAGGAGGACGGTGACACCTGGGCACAGCCTTAGGAGCCCTCGGCGCCCCTCATGTACCCTTGGTGAGGCGCGCGCTCGCCGGGGTGGAGGACTAGCCGCCAAAATGCCAGCAAAGGCGACAGACAGACAGACAGCACAGCACAGCGGAAGGGAAACAGACAGGGGCTTGGCCTGCGTAGATGTGTCTGTGTGTTTATAATTTTCTTCTTTTAAAAAATAGGCAATTCCCAAGCTTGTCTGTGTGTATCATAGGATTGAGAACATATTAATGTTGCCAGGAGCCACTGTGCTCACTGCACAATGGGGGAGGAAAGGGGGGAGGGGGGAGAAGGGAGACATATGATTGCATTAAAGATATCCATTAACTTACATATTTGTATACGGCGTATTTATTTTCTAGTTGATAAGGAATGAATTCATCTAGGGCTCATATCCCAGTTTTAAATGTCAATTCCCACTAACATGAACTTGGGAAATGGCTGATTTCCGGGCTGGGACTGAGAAAGCACTGCCCCGACCTGCAGGGCACGCTTCGTGGGTACACCACACCAAATCCTGCAAAGGAATGAGAGGATAGGAGACGCGAAGAAATGGAGGCAAGACTAAGTTCTGATCAAGCCTCAGTTTTATTTTTACAGCGGGTGGTATTTATGTTGTTTCTAGAGGAGGGGGGTGGGCAAAGGAAGTTGTTAAGGATGTAACAGGCTTTGGAATGTCGCAGCTTATCAGCGGAGATGTAGCTTGCTTTGTGCTTAGGGTGAGGGTATGTTATCTTTTAACTCCAGGCTAAATCGCAAGGTTATCTTTTAACTCCAGGCCAAACCGGGAGTTGGCTTATTGTTGTAAGCTGGAGATGTATATTTGATTTATAATGGCTCCCAACAAAGCACAAGGCAGATCTTGACCATTTTGTGCCTTCAAGTGTAAACGTGCTCAAAAACTGATGGGACACAGCCAGGAACACAGGAGCGAGGTGAAGAGGCACCGCTGGCCATGGCGGGACGATTTGAACTTTAAAGAGAATCTTTTTTAAAATATATTTTTATTTATTTCAAAGAGCAACAGAGAGGAAGAAACATCAATGATGAAAGAGAATCATTGATCGGCTGCCTCCTGCACACCCCCTACTGGGGGTCAAGCCCAAACCCAGGCATATGCCCTTGACCGGAATCGAACCCGGGACCTTTCAGTCCACAGGCCAACGCTCTATCCACTGAGCCAAACTGGCTAGGGCTTAAAGAGAATCTTGGCAAGAATGAATTGTGACAAGAATTGCTCAACACGGGGCTGAGCAAATAAATGTCGTGAAGTCTGCTGAGCAGCAGGTTTCTCAGAGAAAGAAAACAAACACAAAATACAGAGAGGGGCAAGGAGAGAGCAAAAGAACGCCTCCGAACTCGTGGTTTTCACGGTGTGCAGGTGGACGGAACACGTGTGTGATGGGGCGGAGGGGTGTGTGTATGAACATGGTATTGTTCCTGGCTCTGCTTTGAGGACTTAGGAACAATAACATCCAGGACCAATGAGCACACACATCTGGCAACATAACTTGTTGTTTTTTAGCCTTTTCCACTAAAAGAACAAGGCTCCTTGGAGAAATGATGGGCTCTGGGTCTGGGAAAACAGACAGGTGTGACATTGAGATTTATTATACATCCTATATAATAAAGAGTTAATATGCTAATTAGAACGGATATCGGAATGACCTTCCAGAGAGACCAGTGGGTGGGGGGGCAGGGCCATGAGGCAGCCTGGGCCGAGAGGCAGGGGGGGTGGGGTGCAAGGGCCTACTCTTGCATGAATTTCGTGCATTGGGCCTCTAGTTTATATATAGTTTTTTACCCAGGTTCTGGTACAGAGGTCCTAAAACCCTTGGAATGTCCTCAGTGATAAGAGAAATAAGGGTGTCTTTTGATGTCTCTAACAAGCCCCTCTCAGATACTCCAGAGCTCATTTTAGTCAAGGCGATGACTTTTGGAAAGCCATGAGGATCTGGTCTAGCTGCCTGGGGAACCACCTAGTCATTACAGAGTTGTAATTTGGCCCCACCCCCATCCCAGCCTCACGGAGGGGCTGGAGATTGGGCTCTATTGCCAGTGGCCAATGATTTAATCGATCATGCGAATGAAATAAAGCCACCAGAAAAATCCAAAAGGACTGGGTTCCAGAGCTTCCGGATTGGTGAACACTTGGGCATTCAGAGAGAGTGGCACTCAGAGCATGGCAACCCTGTACCCCTTTCCACACACCTTGCCTTTGCGTCTTTTTCTTCTGGCTCTTCCTGAATCATATAATCCTAGTAAACCTGGAATCTAGTAAGTAAACTGTTTTTCCCGAGTTCTGTAATTCACTCTAATAAATTAATCGAACCCACGTAGGGTGTTGTGGGAACCTCTCACTTACAGCTGGCTGGTCAGAAACACAGGTAACAACCCGGACTTGCAATTGGTGTGTGAAGTAGGGGGCAGCTAGACCCAAGGAGAGATATCACTTGAGGGATATTAGGCAGGAAAGATAGCTCTAGGGCATGAGGGGAAAGGGAGAGAAAAGGGAGTTTATCTCACCCACTAAACAAAGAAGTCAGCCACCTTAGTACTTGCCAAACAAGATGACCAGATGTCTGTACAAACATTCCAGAATAAGCCACAACAATGGAGAAGGGGACTTTGAAACCTACAGGGGCAAGGGTATAAAACCTCTTGAACCCTCACTGGGCACACACTCAGACTAGCTGAGTTGCCCACTTATGCTTTATGTCAAGTGTATTCTTTTTTAAAAAAAATATTTTTTTATTGATTTCAGGGAGGAAGGGGGAGAGAGAGGATAGAAACATCATGAGGAGGCCCTAACCAGTTTGGCTCAGTGGATAGAGTGTCGGACTGTGGACTCAAGGGTCCCAGGTTCGATTCCAGCCAAGGGCATGTACCTGGGCACAACTAAAGCACAAAGGCTATCAGAGCTAAGAGAGGATCTTGACCGCCACTGAGAGGGCGAGTCAAACAAATCCAGTTATCATTGGCCCTGGGGGAATCTTACGTGGAAGACAATGACCCCAAAGACATGGACCAGGCGCTCCCACACATTGTTGGTGGCTTATAAGTTGATGCAGCCGTTTTGAGGTCAATTTTGGGAATGCCAACCAATTTCTAAACATGAACATCCTCCCACCAGTGGTTCCACATCCAGGATCTGTCCTACAGAAATGTTCACACAAGCACCTGAGACAAAGGATGCTCATAGCATCCATGTGAAAACATAGACCTACTTGCCAGTAGGAGGATAAATAGGTTGAAATGGCCTAATCGTACTTCGGGTACTACCGCACCATAAGTTTTTGTGGTGTACCTCAATTTCTTCAGGGAGAATGTATTGCTTATGTTATTGAAAATGTGAGCCAATGCTTCTTTCCTTTCTGCTTCAATGGTAAACAAGCACCAGAAAATCCTTTTAAAATATACAAAAGGAAGCCATCTGATGGACATCTTAGCATTCAGGGGCAGTGACGTGACTTCTTTTGTCCTCTGAGTGTTCAAATCGCTGCCTGTGATCGCCTCTGTGGAATGCTTTCATGTTCCTCTACAGCATCTTGGTTAGAGCCCATAGTGTTCATATAACTTTCATTATTCAATGATCTGTCCAGTTTGCAAACTCTTGTTTCCTATTCAATACGAACGCCCAGCAAGTTGAGGACCTGCAGTGAAGAGGGAGTCGTTCTGCCTCTGGAAACCCCTTCTTCCTCCCTCTGTGCTGATGTAAGGAGAGATGCAGCCACAACCTCACAGGGCCCGCCCCACTGCTCAGCTCCCCAGTGTCGCTGAACACCTCACCTCTACTCCACCTGCTCACAGGACACCCCAATGCTCCTGTGATGCTTGCCCTCACCTGCAGAGGGCGTACTTGGGAAGGGTGCAGCAAAGTGGCTCGGGTTGGCCAGGTTTCCAGACAATCTTTGACCCCCACCAAACTGCCACGCTGTGTGTGTGCCTGCTGAGTCGGGGTTGGGTGGGCTCCTCTGGGCAGATCAACAATCCTATCAAACAAGATGCCAGGCTCCTCTTCTTGCAAGCATCCCCCAAAGTTACATCTGATTCTTCTAGGGTCGGCTTAGGGCAGTAGCAAGTACTCCCACGTGTGGAGGGCAGGAAATTGCATCTGGAATGTTCCACCACCCCAGGCCTCCAATGGACTCCAGTTTCCCCATCCCCCACTCCGAAAAGGAAATCAGTTCCTTTTGTGCCACTTATTTCACATTTATTTCTTTTATTTATAGCTTATGGTCAATGCCAATCAACTCCATAATGTGAAACATTATTAAAAAATTAAAGCATTATGATGCAAAAAGCATAAAAGCAGGCTCAGAGGCACACGCGGCCGCAGGAGACCCAGCGGCTGCTTCAGACAGAGGATGCCTCGGCCGTCACTGTGTGCACATTCGAACCAAAATCTGTATCTAAAAATGTTTTTCCCATCGAAACTGTTGTTACTCTGATTCTTAACGGTTAAAGCAGGTATTTTCAGAAAGAATTTAAAAGAATGATTACAAACTTAATCCTGCTGGTGCCCGCCCAGCCTTCCTCCAGCAGGGGCGTCCTCATGTCTGGTTTGGCTTCTGAGGCTCCAGGCCGGGCCTTCACCACCACCCCCACCCCCACCGCTGCTGGCAGCTCCACCCCGGCTCCAGGCAGCATTCTGGCTGTGGTGGCACCTGCTTCCAAAGTCCTGGCCTGAAACTCTGTCCCACAGGGGCCAAGGCTCAGGAACGCCCCCGCAGTGCTGAGACTGGGGGGGCTCCTCCTCCAGCCAGCGGGCCCCTGCATACTGGCTGCCACAGTTTACATCGGGCCGAGGAGCTTCTACTGTCTCTGTCTTTCCCAGCAGCAGTTTGGAGATTTTGTAGATAATGGTCCAGAAACAGGTCATTGTCTCTGTCACTGCCGCTGCCTCCCTGGGGGAGTCTCCAAACCTCCCCTGAGGGTGATCTTGCAGAAGCGCTGGTTAGCGAGAGACCTGGGAGACCCTGGGACTGGGAAACAGAGAAGCAGTAGCTGAGCTGGGCAGCTTGCGGG